AGATATCATCTACCACATCTATTCTAAGACAATGTTGATTATCTGTAGGATGCTTCATTGCTTCAAACACATTAAAATTAACTTCCTCATCCTCTACTCTGACTTTTAACTTGGCATCATCAACATCAATAATAACTTTTGTCGTCTTCATGAAAGGTCTTCCCAGTATAAGAGGAACTTCAGTGTCTTCCTCCATATCCATCACAACAAAATCAACAGGGAACATAAATTTATCAACTCTGACCAAAACATCTTCTGCCACACCATAAGGAAATTTTAGAGATCTATCAGCTAGTTGTAATGTCATTATTGTAGGCTTTACTTCCAAGTCTCCTATTCTTTTAAGCATAGACAAAGGCATCAGATTTATACTAGCACCCAAATCAAGTAATGCCTTACCTACTTGTAATGTCCCAATTGTGACTGGTATAGTGAAACTACCAGGATCCTTGGATTTTTGAGGTAATGATTTCTGAATTATAGCGCTACATCCTGCTTCTAGCTCCACTGTTTCTATAGTAAATCTCCTTTTCTTAGTTAACAACTCTTTCATGAATTTTGCATAAGTCGGCATCTACTCCATAGCTTCCATAAGTGGAATATAAATCTGTAAATGCTTGAAAATATCCATGAATCTTGCAAACTGTCTTTCTTTATCTTTCTTGGAAGGATGACAAGGATATGGTCAATCCTTTAATTGCGGTCTTTGACTCTCATCTTTCTCCCTCTTTTTCTCACTCTTTTTATTTTTTTCTTCTTTTTCAGTATTTTTTTCTTTTTCTATATTCTCTCTTTTATTTTTCTCTTTTTCTCCTTCACACTCATCTTCTTTTTCTTATAGAATTTCCTTCTCTACAGCCAGATTGTCACCAATACCTTCTCCTATAAACTTACCACTCCTTGTAGTTATTGAATTACATTGCTCCTTTGGATTGGTTTGTGTGTTAGCTGAAAACTGTCCTCCTTGCTGCTCAGATAATTGTTTATCCAGTTGACCTATCTAGGTCTCTATATTTCTGAATGAAGCCTCAGTATTTTTCTGATTAGTCATAGTGCTTTGCATGAATTTTTCTAAAGTATCCTCCAATTTACTCATTATGTCAAGCACTAAAGGATAATGTTGTTGCTGTTGATATGGAGGTTGCTGATATGATTATTGTTGAAATGTAGGTTGTCTAGTAGATGAGCTAACACCTTGTTTCCACCCAAAATTCTGATTCTGATTCTGATTCTGATTCTGATTCCCTCTCCATCTTTGTGCAACATTATTCTGATAATTGTTGGAATTAGGGAAATTACCTTGTCTGCCTTAACTACTACCTTGAGCACCCATATAATTATCTTCTTCTTGTTGAATGTTGCCTTGATAAGAGCATTGTTCATTTGAATGATCACCTCCACAAAAGTCACATTTCATGAATTGTTGATCAGGAGAAGCGTGAATAACATGTATTTGTTGAGGTAGCTTTGCTATTTGCTGAGTCAATGCTTCCATCTGTTTAGTCAGAATTTTATTTTAAGCTAACATAGCATCTAAAGTGTTCAGCTCCATCATTCCTTTCTTTTGAACTGGATGTCTATCATGTTGGGCCTGTTGGTCTGTAAAAGCTAATGCATCAACAATCCTTGTGGCATGATCAATTTCTACATCCAACATGGATCCTCCTGCTGCAGCCTCTAATAGCATCTTTGCATCATGTTGCAACCCAGTATAGAAAATATTCAACTGAGCAATGTCATCAAATCCATGATTTGGGCATCTTCTCAATAGTGATTTAAATTTATCTCATGCTTCACAAAAAGATTCATCTGCTCCTTGTCTGAAAGAAGTGATGTCAGATTTTGCTTTGATGTAGCGGGATGGTGGGAAAAATCTGTTCAAAAACTTCTCTTCTACACTACTCCAATCAGTCAAACTCTGATTAGGATGTGCCTTCAACCAATCCTTTGCCCTACCTGCCAAAGAAAAAGGAAATAATCTCAAATATGCAGATTCAAGATTTGCTGCTCTAAATCCCATGGTACCAATCAACTCATAAAAAGTAGACAAATGAATATAAGGATCTTCATGATCCAGTCCAGTGAATTGATGAGCACTAATCAAACTTAAGAAAGCTGGATTCATCTGCAATGTTTGATCATCCGATATCGCAATGCTGGAAAACTGTCTTGGACCTTGCTGCATAGCATAGTTTCTGAGAGTTCTTCTAGGTGGATTTGAATTTGGGTTTTGATTTGGATTTATATTTGGATCTAGATTCAGATTCAGATTTGCTCCTTCTTCCGCCATATCTTCTATAATTAGGTTTGGTAAATCAAGTGTGGAAGAAGAATTAGCAAATTCTCTTGTGGCTTGTTCTTGAGTTTTCCTTCTTCTTCTACCTCGGTTCCTCCGAGCTGTTTTTTCAATCTCCGGATTAAATTATAATTGCTCTAAAGATACCTGTCCTCTTAAACGAATAAATCAAAAGAGTAACTCAAGCAAAGATTAGCACAAACAAAAATTAAGCAAAATGAAATTGAAAAATTAAGCAAAAAATATAAATAAAAATAAAATACTCAATAAGCTAAACAAATAATTCTCAAAGAACACCATTCCCCGGCAACGGCGCTAGAAATACTTGTTGAATTATTGGCAAGCATACTAAAATTATCAATCGCAATATAGTATTTCGATTAAATAAAAGTCGATCCCACGAGGAACGATTTCAATGGGAATTCCCAATTTTATGCTTACTAAGTAGATTAAAACAGAATGGGTTTTGCGTAAAGAATTGAATTGAAATTAAATGACAAAGAACTGTAAATTGTTGAGAAAATATCAATTAAAGGCACTTAGGATTGGTTTCCTTCCTTGTCCCTCTTTTGCAATGGCTATGTCAATTAAGAACGTCAATTAACCTAACAATGTTGATGCCACCAACTCAAATCATCCATGTTGATTTCTCACACATGAAATTCATAAGAAAACCTAATAAATGTTGATTCCTCACACAATTAAGAGATTTTCCAGCATGAGGTTTAGGGTGTTAAGCAATTGATACATTCATTCCATTCCTGGCAATTAACGTAACAAATATTTTTACCGTGATCTAGGGTTCAAGATATATTTTCCAATCATACCTCAAACATCAAGAATAAATCATTCCAAAGCACAAAAGATAAGAATAACAATATCAAAACATAGATGAATATCTCAAAATATCACCATGATACAAAAGAGTTCAAAGGAAGTGCACCGAATCCTAAGAGAATGAAGTTAGCCACTCATGTTGGCCATTACAATGCTCAAATTATGGAAGAAGTGAAGAATTGATGAAGATTGGACGAAACCCTAGCAGTAGACATGTCTCTTCTCCTCCAAAACCGCTTGCTTTTCTCAAAACACATCTTCTCTTTTTATTAGAAAAATTTGGGCTTTTGGGTTTCGCGTCTTTCGCTTGAGCGAGAATTTTTGCTCAAGCGAAAGTAGCCTATTTTCGCTCAAGCGACAAAACGCTCGCTTGAGCGAATGAATTCCAGAGAAGAATAACTAACATTCGCTCAAGCGAATTTTCCTGCGCTTGAGCGACTGACTTTTAGAGAAGAATAACCGATATTCGCTCAAGCGAATCTTGTCTCGCTAGAGCGAGTGAACTCCAGAGAAGAATAATTAACATTCGCTCAAGCGAGTTTTCCTGCGCTTGAGCGACTTACATGCTGAAAATTTTCTTCCTTCTTCCAGTTTTGCTCCAATTCTGCTATCAATTATGCTCCTTACTCTTGTATCAAGGTATTCTTGAATTCATCTTATATTGGGAGAAAAATAGATTAGAATTAGCATCGCTTAAGTGATTTCATAACAATTCAAGGTATAATTATATCAACTTTTTACCACTTAATAGTAATATAAATAAAGAGAATAAAAATTAAGGAAAAAATTATTATTATTATTATTATTATTATTATTATTATTATTATTATTATTATTATCTTTTTATTAGTTTTTTATAACTTAAAAAAAATATTAGTAACGGTTAAAAAATTGAATTCACGCTTAATCGTTCAACTAAATATTATGATAATAAATTACAAGAAAACAAGTTATATTATAAATAATACAAAACTCATAATATTTTTTTATATTTTTTTCATCTAATTCAACTAGTTGATATATACTTTTCTTTATTAAAATACTATTACTATTACGAGTGATCTTATTATATTAAGAAAATAGTAACAGATGTGTTTATATTGTATTTTTATGATGTTGATTATATTAAAATATGAATGAATGATACTAATAGGGTTTTCTCCTTTTTTATATTTTGGATATTAATATGTTTCATGCTAATTTCGTATTTGGTGTTCCGGAGTACATTTGCATACGGTGTTAATTACTGTTGCATAAATCCAAGAGAACGTTATAAATATTTTAGTGAGAAATGGTGCTATAGAGTCCATAGTGAGACTACTTCAACTATCAAAAAAAGTTGCTCAGAGATGATAATGACAAAGTTACTAAATCTTAGCAATACGAATTAAGGAAAAATTGCATGTTCATCCTTGAAATTATTTCCTTATTAAAAGTAGGATTATTTTTTTTTCTTGTTTCATATTTTTATGTCATGAAACATCTTACTAATATTAATATTATTCTATCGAATATTAATATGTTCGGATAGAAATTTACAAATTCTTTCTATTAATATTTAATAATAGTATTTGTAATGAGATATATTCGATACTAAATATTATTAATATTAAAAGTATCTGTAGGAATATTAGGGCTATACGGACTCGAACCGTAGACCTTCTCGGTCGGTAAAACAGATCAAACTAATAATTCTCTAATGATTTAAATTGTTTGAAAAACCCAACGTGCATTTTTTTTTTGCATTGAGATTTTTCATTAACTGATAGAAATATTAGTTAGTCCACCATCTTTTTTCTTGACAGAAAGAATAAAGAGATGATTCTCTATGCTCTACTTTTTTTATTTGTATATTACAATCTAAGAGCATTACCAAAGTGTTTCTAAGAAGGATTATCTTGACGTAGGTCTGCTTCTGGCCTAGATCAACTTAAGTTAAATAGACTTTTTATCCACCTACTAAAATTAAAATAGAAGATAAGAAATGACACTTCATACACCTTAAAGTTCATAAGATAGGAAGAAAAGAGAATCTTTTTAGGTCCCTCTACCCTTTATGTTTAGCATTGACGAAAAGTGGGTATTCACCTTATCAATATCTTAGTTCAGTTTGGCAGAACGCGGGTCTCCAAAACCTGATGTCGTGGGTTCAAATCCTACAGAGCGTGATTCTAGTATTATTCGCCTGATAATTACACTGAAATAATTGAACTGAATTTTATCCTTGTAGATTAGGATTAAACCAAAATAAATAGGGAATCCATAAAAAAAGAGACATTAATTAATCAAAGATCCAACTGATCACCTCGTCGGTATTGTAAATATGTCATTACAAATAATCCAGCCAAAGTAATAGGAATTAAATCTAACATATATTGATGATGAGTATATAACGCAGCTTGAGTAGTAAAATCTTGTGCTATAAACGCATAAGCGGGTAAAGAGTACATGTGTTGTGCTACCAAAGAAGTAATAACCCCTAAAGAGGCTAGAGCAAGACCTAATTGGAAATGAATTGAATTATTGATTGTGTCATAAAGACCCCTTATGTCCACGCCCCAATCTACCCCCCCAGAGGAGTATGTGCTTCAAAAAGATCTTTTATACTGTGACCAACCCCGAAGTTAGTTCTATACATATGGCCAACAACTAGAAAAAGAAATGCAATAGCCAAATGATGGTGTGCAATATCAGTCAACCATAAACTTTATGGGGTGGGACCTGTAGCTCAGAGGAATAGAGCACATGGCTACGAACCACGGTGTCGGGCACAACCGGCCAAAAAAGGGAAGGATTTTTCCCTCTGGGGGTAGGAAAATCATGATCGGGCTAGTGGACCCAAAGCTGTGGAACTTGTGAGTAGTTTGTAGAAATGGAATGGCCTTACTGTTTTATTAAATAAAATTAGTATGCCCTAATCTTTTAATCCCCATTTTTGTTTTACGCTTCCTCAGCCAGGTTTGGAATAGCGGGTAAAGTATTATTAGCATAGCACAAAAATGCGTTCCTCATCATTAATATGTTTACTAGTGGTAATTGCTTCTCGAGAAAATTGATGAATGCATAAAAGATGCACTTGCTACTGCTAGTACCAGTATATCTAATAATTTTGAATTGGTTGGTTTAAATATAAATAGCCCCGGACTGTCGAACAAATGAGTATCCCGAACCTACACCGAGATATTGACGGCGATTCTATTATTATTATCACACAATCAGAGTATCAACAACTTATCATAAATGTCCGAGCCTTATTGTGTCTTCTAGAGTTGTTAAAGTGGCACAAGACCATTCCCTACTCTCCGTCAATTGTTAGTCTTATAAGGAGAGTAGTTGATGCAATAAACAAGTTGCTTATAAAAACAAACGTAGTTAAAAACATTGTCAGGGTTTCTCTTATTTTTCTATTACTAAAGTTATATATTCTATAGTTTTTATATGCTTTATGCGTATATAAAACTTGTGTTATCTTTAGAATGGAAGGTGGCATCCCCTCTCTAGTTGATTTGCTTGAATTTAAGGTAAAAAAAGTACATGTCGCAACTGCATTAGCCTTAGCAACATTGGTATCTAATAATGTTGACAATAAAAATAAGGTACTTGAATTTATCTACTAAATTAGTGTGATGGATTCATTGGTTTGTTTACTAATTAACAGTAAAAAGTTGCTTATGGTTGAATGTGAAATAATGCTTCAATCATATGATCTTGTAATACAATTCTTCGGGGTAAGATGCTTTTATAACATGACTTTACACAAATTGTGTATTATTTAGTTTGTTATTTACATAATTCTAAACTACTAGCTTCAATGAACTAGTTCTATTTTATAGGTTCGTATGATTAACATGTTGATAGACTTTTCACCAAATATTAAAAAAATAAGTTTCTTTAGCGGGAGCTTTACAACCTGTCATTGGTTTACTTAGGTAAAACATTATATTTTGCTGGTGGTTTTCCTCTAAGAACATATAAAAAGATGAAAACATTATAGTATCCCAAATAGTATGTGAATGTTTATAAGTTTATAATTTCAATGACAGTTCCCCTTTTTGGGAGAGCCAAAGATTAACAACCCTCTTGGTCAATTTGTCATAACTTATTCAAATTTGAAGGTGATTGATTTAAGTTGTGTTACATATTTGTAATATAATGAATAAGTTATTCAATTTTTATACTAAGTTGCATACTTCGTTTGTGGTTCAAGCATGCTAGTTCATATTTCTCAAAGAGGGGCTATTCCACCATTATTGATATGCTTAAGTGTCCAGTAATAAATCTTTGGAAAGCATCAACTTTTTGTACTTATATTAGTACAGGTGATTATTATTAATAAGTAACAACCATCATTTGCCCTATAAGCAATATAAAATTGAAGGATTCGATTTAATTATTTTATTATCATTTTCTTCCATATAACGTTTTTAAATGAATAATTTAAATGATAGGACTCACATAATCAAGTTAGTATCGCTGATAGTGGAGGTATAAAGGCTATGCTCCGTCTTCTTGACTCACCATCAAGCGTTCAAGAATATGTCACTTACATTCTCTATTATCTTGCTGATAATGAGGTGAAGTTAATATCTATGTTCTCTATTTTGGTTAACTTCAAATTTTTCTTTTAGATATAAAATTGATGTGCAATGATATTATGATAGTTTAATCATATTTAAACTATTTTTGTACGTATCTATACTAGTTTTGTACACTACAAGAAAAAAACACCTTTAATGACTAAAATTAGTGACCGATTTTATTCGGTTGCAATTAGCGACCGATTTAATGACCAATTTAATCCGGTCATAGTTTAGCGACCGATTTTGCCACCAAAATATGATTTGGTTTCATTTTTTATTTAGTGACCGAAATAGTGACCAATAGTTTGCGTCACAAAAATTTGGTCACTAAATCGGTGGCTATTCCATACTAAAATAAAAAAATATTTAGCAACTGATTTAGCGACCGAATTACAAATTAATATAGTGACCAAATGGAAATCAGTCGCTAATAAGAAAATAGAGACCAAATTGAAATCGGTCGCTAATGAACATTATTTTTTTATTATATTTAAATTTATTTTTTTATAAATATACTTTAATTGCTTTAGTATATTTTTTACAATTTATTTTTTAATTGATATACATTAGATAATTAATATATTATTTAATTAAATTATTTATAAAATATATTTATCTTTAGTTGAAATATTTTTTACTTTAAGTATACTAATTAATATTTTTCATTTTTAACAAAATGAATAACAAAGATTAAAAATAGACTGCTAGAAAAGTTAAAAATTTAAAACTAATCCATTTTATAAATACTAAAAATAAACCATATTTAAATAAGTTAAAAATATATTTAAATTTATATTCAACAAACCTCCAATTTTGCTCTATAAATGCATAGATCACATTTGGAAACTTCATCACTAAAATAACTTCAAAATTATTAACTTTTTTTTCAAAGCCCAGTTTTTCTTGTTAGTTTTTTCAAAAAACAGTTAATGTAAGTTAAAGTTGTGCCTTTTTGAAATTTCAACTTTTTTATATATTGGATTTTTATTAAAAAATTTCGATAAGAAAATGGAGATTTAATTATACTTTTAATAAATTTAAGATAATAATAGTTTTTATTTTTATTTTTAAATATTTATTTTAATTTTTTAAAACAGAGAAACTATAATTTTAGTTTCTAAATACTTCATTTAAAGAATTAAATTTATTATTATTTAATCTCTTAATTTTAGTATTAAAAATTTAAATTATATTTTATTAAATTAAAATAATTACAATATATTTTTTTACTTTGAGAATTAAAAATATAATTAAACTAAAACTGAAAATATTATAATACATTTTTGAACTCTTTTTTATAATATTTTTATCATTATTATATTTTTGGATTAATTTTTTTTCCTAATTCTTTATAAAGTCAATTTTAATATCTAAAAATATTTAACATTTTGAATTGTGAAACTTTTTCTCTATTAGCAAATTTAAAAACATAATATACTAAAAAATTATTATATATAATTATTTCATCCAAATTTTTAATAATATGATAAATCATCAAATTTGTTTTTTCTTCTTTCATGTTTTTTCTTTTCGATATGAGTACTTGAATTTATAAAAAAAATTATTTACAAAATTCACTTCTCTAATCTCTATCTTCATATTTCTTAACTATTTTTTTTATAGTTATGAAGGTCAAGATTGGTACACACACTTAAATATATTATAAATGAAGAATATTTGTTCATTCTAGTTTTTTTTTCTCAATCTATACTTTTATTATTTTTATTTTAAAATATATTTTATATTTTTTAAAATTAATAATTTTAATCTAGTCATCTAAATCTTTGATGTGATGATTCTAATTAATTGATATTATCAAATAATTTTATTTGATTTGTTATAGTAAAAATCATCAAAATAAATATTAAAATAATATTAATTACTTTAAATTATAAGAAAATAAATAATAAAAATAAATTTAAAGTTAAAAAATAAGTAAAAATAAAATATAAAAAAATAAATACTTGTCTCAAATAATATAAAACAAATTTAATGATGGATTAAAATAAAACAATATTTATAAGAGACTATTTATTTTTAGTTATGATGGATCAAAAGTGGAAATACATTTAAATTTATAATTTTATTTATGAAACACATTTAAATTTATAATTAACGAAAATAATGAAAATCTTAATATAACATGATACTTTTAGTAGTTTATTTTTTTATAAATTTAAACTTACTTTTTTTTTAGTTTAGTTTTTAAATTTTATGTATTATTATTGCTAATTGATATACTAGAATAAATTTATATAAAAATAGTCTTTATATTCAAAATTCACTTCTTCAAATTATATCTTTATATTTTTTTACTGTTTCTTTATAGTTAAGAAGGTCAACATTTATGTACACACTTAAATATAATATAAAGTAAAGAGTATTTGTTTATTCTATTTTCTTTCCAATCCATAATTTTAGTAAATTTTTTAAATATATTTTATATTTTTAAAATTAATAATTTTAATGTAATTATCTAAGCTTTTGATGTGATAATTTTAATTAATTGATATTATCGAACCATTTTATTTGATTTATTATATTAAAAATCATAAAAATAAATGTTAAAATAATTTTAATTATTTTAAATTATAAGAAAATAAATAATAAAAATAGAAAATAAAGTATCCTATGAAGACTAATTATTGTAAAGATAAAATAGAATATGGGAGGAGATGAGGATGATAATGTAGTAGAAATGATAGAGTTTTAAAAAAAATGTAGAATGTGAGAAGTTTAAAAAGAAGAAAAAAAAGGTTAAAAAATATACATAAGTAATTGGATTAAATTTGTTATCCCCTCATATATTATTATACATTATTAGCATAATTTTAGTTTAATTAAAAATTAGAATACAAATATACTATATTATGCTAATATAACAATATATTATAATATTTGTAATTTATTTTCATTGTGTATAAATTACAAAACTAATAATTTTTAAAAATTTTAATGATAATTTTTGTAACTTATATATTACAAAATATTTTTAATACTTTGATAAATATAACTTTTTAAAAATATATTTCATCAATTTTAAGTATATTTTTTTGGTATTTTTTTTAAATGTGGATATCTTTAATATTTTGTACATGTAAATGTAAATGTAATTTATATATGTTTTTAAACCTTTTTCTAAAATTTATTTTTAAAAGTTTAATATTATTTTTAATATTTAATAATTATATTTTAAATTTTTTTCTTAAATGATGAATGAATAATATTAATATTTTTTAATTAATTAAATTTATAAATAATGAATTAAAAACATTTATTATCTTTGGAAAAATATAATATTATCTTTAATATTTTAATATTTATATTATAAATTTTTTATTAAAATATTAGGGTTCTTGTCTTTTTCTTTTCTTTCATCTCTACTTCAAGCCATCAAGAATTATTTTTTTCATCTTATAAATTAAATTTTAAATATATAAATATATTTGTATTTATAGATTTTATATTTATAAATTTATACAGATACACATTTATTTGTATATAAATATAAATTATTTGTAAGTTATTAGTGAAAAATCCTAGTAGCTTAGAGGTTAGAGTATTAACCTTCAACTCTAAGGTTCTGCGTTCAAATCTTGTCATTGACAATAATCTGATCATAATTTAAACTCTTAAAAAAGGTAACAAATAATAAAAATATTATATAAAAGGGAAGGTAATAAATAATAAAAATATAATATAAAGTGTAATAGAGTCGAGTCTCTACAGGGGTTGTTGTAAATAAATATTGGTCGCTATTTTTGCATTAAATTATTATTTAAATAATTCAATTAATATATTAGCGATCGATATAAATCGATCGCTATTTTTTTAACTTTGCCACTCGATTTAGCGACTAATTTAATATATTAATTTCGGTCGCTATTTTGCGACCAAAATGAAAATCGGTTGCTAACACATTAGCGATTTGACCTTTTGTGACGACGTATTTCGGTCGCTAACTGATTTTTTGGTCTTTTTGACATTTGCGACTGAAATTTTTGGTCGCTAAAACTATTTTTTCTTGTAGTGGTATGTACAACACGATATTGTTGCAAATATTATTAAAGTTGGTGGATTTTAGAAACTAAAGGAAGGGCATTTCATAAATAAAGTATGTTAATTTACTCTTCTTTGTGATTGCAGTAATAAATTTTTATTTTAACATATTTACTTGAATTTCTTATTTTTGATAATTATTTAAATTAATGCTTGTTAACATAACACTTTTCTCTCTCTCAATTATTGAGTGAGTTTCCTTGTGATTTGTAAACTATTAAAGAGTATGTAATAATGATGTTAGTAAGATTTGAACTATACATGCAAAGCAAGTAAGTAATTTTGCAAATTCTGTCTCAATGAAAATCATAAATGAGAATCATAATTTGTTTAAATTGTATTCTTTCCATTTTGGCAAGTATTGAAATATCTAATATATATAATGGGCTCTGGGAAAGAATGAGCTAGAAGATGTGTAGTTATTGCTCTTGCTTATATATGTTCTCCTCTAAATCATGAAACTGTATTTATTGAAAATCATGGTAATAAATGATCTATAAAGTTTTGTTTTATAATTTTTCACTCACTTTAGATAGATTTTATTTTTAAATAATGTGTTAAAAAATATTATTGTTGGATATTCTTCAATCCCAAAATGTAAAACTAAAGTGGGATGCTTGAAAGGCATTTTTCATATTGGCTAGTAGAGCTAGTTTCATTCACTCTCTCGTTCATGCTACTTCTCCATCATTATCTCCTAAGTTTTTTTTTCTCTTTATATGTGTGGTCGTGCTACGTTTTTTAATTTGATATGTATTCCTTATTTATTGGATCATTTGTCTTACCATTTTATAAATGTGTTATTTAAATTAGTAAAATGATACTTATTTTCTCTCAAATTAATTTTTTGTATTTATTGCCTTAACAATAATATTTCATTGCAGTTGTTAAGTGGTAAAAAGTTGATATAGTTATGTTTTTAATTGTTATGAAAT